AGAGAGAGAGAGAGAGAGAGAGAGAGCTGTTCAAACACGATGACGAAATGGAAATAAGCAAAAATGATGTCAAATATGTATCCAATTGTATGCCATAATCGCATAATTAATGGCAAAGCGTATCCATAAATGTACGTAAGATGTGCTGCGTTTGGGATGTAGTGGTGATGGATGGGTGAGTGTGTCATCCGATGCCATGTGTGCCACTCTGTCAGCGAAGACCCCAATTGGATGACAGAACGGATCCGCAAACCTGTCATGTCTTGAGGCGATGCCTCTCAACAGCGATGTAAACTCAGGTGAACTCAAATGACCCGCAAATTCACTCTTTTTTCGGTTTCAATCATAACTTTCGCCAAACAATTGCCCAAAAAAGCGGACGTTTTGTTTGGATTCACCGCTCATTGGGTTTGCCTTTTGTTGACAACTGAAACCCAAGTCATGAAAAACATCACATTCGCGGATCAGATGCCCGGCAGTGATGGACAACAGCCTCGACCGGTGGACACGTCGGCCCACCGCTACCCCTACTGTGTTGTGTGGACTCCCATACCATTGATCACATGGTTAGTGCCATTGATAGGACATATGGGCATATGTCTGGCCAATGGTGTGGTCCGAGACTTCGCCGGACCTTATTATGTCTCGCAGGACGAGATGGCCTTCGGGTGGCCCACGAAGTACTGGCAATTGGATCCACGACTTGTCACCATTGGTCAGAGTTGGGACGATAGCGTCAAACAGGCTTCCGATGAATACATGCATCGAATGGTAAGTGATTTGATTGATCTCATCTGTTCCTCGAAGTGATGAATGTGTTGTCTTTGTCTTCAGCACCACTTATGCTGTGATAATTGTCATTCACACGTCTCGATGGCACTCAATCTGATGAGATATAACGGCAAAAGCAATTACAATATGGTCTCCACATTCTTCCTCTTCACCATTCACTCCAAATACATCAGGTATTGATTCAAATCCATCATCGCTTACCTCTTGCGCTCATTATCTCATTGTTTGATCCATTTGTCTGTTCTCTAGCTTCTGGTCGTTCTTGAAGACATGGATCCCTTTCATTGTATTGATTTCAGTCATCATTGGATTAGTTATTTATTTTAAATGAATTTAATACTTATTTTTTAAAACTATTTATAAAATTTTTATTTATAAATAAAATGAGTGTTAAACAGTCTCAAAAATTTGTATAAACATTTAAATACAACTAGTAATAAAAATGGGTTTGTAATATGCCCAAAATTTTTACACATTTTTCATAACGTACACACATTTTAAAAGACCAATTTGTTGTCATTTTGTAAACAAACAATTTTTGTCACATATTTGTTATATAATTGTTTACATAAATTTAGATTTAATAAAAGTGTTAGAATTTTGTCCTAAAAGATATGTGTAAATCAATTTTGGGTCTAATTATCGCAACATTTAATTAACGACATCGAAGTCGACAAACTTCTTGAGTCGATTCAAATACTCTTCAAAGGTGTAGAGGTTGTCGTGTCCGCCGTTCTCTACCCACATGGGAGGCGCCGGGTTTTTGCATAGTTTGTGCAGTTTGTGCGCGTGTGCTATCGGCACGATCTGATCCCGAGTGCCGTGTATTATCAGTATCTTGGACTCAACCGAACCGATATTGTCCACACTATTTGGTCA